AGAATATGAGCATCTTTCTAATTCCAAGCCCTCTTTCAAGAAAAGAGGATAACAACAATGGTAAAACATAAGTATTTTGCTGAGACTGCCAGCTACGAAATCTCCTGCTTCTACAATTCTTCATTTGCCTCAATAAGCCAAAGAGGCCATAATAAAGTCTACAAAGCACTGGTGAAGTTTTTAACTCCCCCATTTTACACACTTTTCAATGTAAAGACATAAAGTTTTATGTTAACTGTGGCTGCAACCTTATACACAATTTGGAGTAAGTTTCATTAAATTTGGTTGGGGTTACTTCTGAGCAGACATGTATAGCATTTGTAATTCTACCAAACTACGCTACATGATTGTTGTAATGCAGCAGGAGGAGCTCCTTTCTATATAGCCCTGGTCTTCAACTGGTGGATCAGGACCCTCTGGTCCTGATCCAAGATGGGTCGCAACAGGAGCACTGCCACCATGCAAATATATGGTAAAAGATAAAGAAATTGGTCTTCAAATGCATGTTTGGGCTAAAAGTGGGTCCTGGGTCTGAAATAATAATAATAATAATAATAATAATAATAATAATAATAATAATAATACCCCACCCATGTAATTGGGTTGCCCCAGCCACTCTGGGCAGCTTTCAATAAAACATTTTTAAAAAATAAAATTGGTCTTCAAATGCATGTTTGGGCTAAAAGTGGGTCCTGGGTCTGAAATAATAATAATAATAATAATAATAATAATAATAATAATAATAATAATACCCCACCCATGTAATTGGGTTGCCCCAGCCACTCTGGGCAGCTTTCAATAAAACATTTTTAAAAAATAAAACATTAAAAGCTTTCCCAAAACAGGGCTGCCTGAAGATACCTGCTTTAGAGGATCACACTTACCCTGCTATAAGGTATGTGAAGTGCTTGGATGATTCTATGCAAACACTACATTAGTTTTATAATCACATAGGTACAGGCTGATCTATGTGTGTCTGTGCCATGTAAATTGTCATAAACTGCTACAGTTCTTAGCTAAATCTCTTACTCCTTTAAACTTTTATTGTGTTTTATTCCTCTGGATGTGTATTTTAAGTACACTTAATTAGCATATTGATTGTTAAACTGCCAGATTGATAATTTTTATTGTTTATGTAGAGAAGTATGCAGAAATTGTGGTTTAAATACAGTGGTGCCTCGCAAGACGAAATTAATTCGTTCCGCAAGTCTCTTCGTCTTGCGGTTTTTTCGTCTTGCGATGCACGGTTTCCCATAGGAATGCAGTGAAAATCAATTAATGCGTTCCTAGGGAAACCGCCTTCAGACCAGGTCCGGGGACAGACTGTCCCCGGACCTCTTCTGAAGGCTGGGGGGGGGGGACAAGGGCTTTTCTTCCCACCCCCAGCATTTTAAAAGACCCTGGGACAGGCGGACGGACTTCTCCGCTGTCCGGGCGATTCTTAACAATGGCTGGCGGCGGGGCATTTCTAAATCGCCCGGGACAGCGGAGGACTTCTCCGCTGTCCGGGGCGGCGATTTTAAAAAGCCCCTGGGAAAGGCAGGCAGGGGGGCCAAAAGACTTTCGGCCCCCCGCCCGCCTTCAGAAGGTGTTCCCGCCCCCCCCGCCTCCCGCAGCAGCGTTCGGCGGGGGCTGGGGCAGTGTTCCCGCCCCGCCCGCTCGCAGCAGCGCTACGAAGCCCGCGTGGGCAGGTTTCCCCGGAGCAGCGTTCCGAGGGGGTGTTTTCCCCCCCCCCCACCCGCTCGAGCACTTCCGATGGGGCGGTGTTCGCCCCACCCGCCGGCTTCGCAGCTATAGCGCTACGAAGCCCGGCGGCTGGGGCAGGTGTTCCCGCCCCCCCCACCCCGCTTCGGAGCAGCGTTCCGAAGCGGGGTGGCTGGGGCAGGTGTTCCCGCCCCCGCCCGGCTTCGCAGCAGCGCTACGATCCCGCGGCTGGGGCAGGTGTTCCCGCCCCCCACCCCGCTTCGGAGCAGCGTTCCGAGCGGGGGTGGCTGGGCAGGTGTTCCCGCCCCCCGCCCGGCTTCGCAGCAGCGCTACGAAGGCCGGCGGCTGGGGCAGGTGTTCCCGCCCCCCCATCCCCGCTTCGGAGCAGCGTTTCCGAAGCGGGTGGCTGGGGCCGGTGTTCCCGCCCCCCGCCCGGCTTCGCAGCAGCGCTACGAAGCCCGGCGGCTGGGGCAGGTGTTCCCGCCCCCCCACCCCGCTTCGGAGCAGCGTTCCGAAGCGGGGTGGCTGGGCAGGTGTTCCCGCCCCCCGCCCGGCTTCGCAGCAGCGCTACGAAGCCCCGGCGGCTGGGGCAGGTGTTCCCGCCCCCCCCACCCCGCTTCGGAGCAGCGTTCCGAAGCGGGGTGGCTGGGGCAGGTGTTCCCGCCCCCCGCCCGGCTTCGCAGCAGCGCTACGAAGCCCGGCGGCTGGGGCAGGTGTTCCCGCCCCCCCACCCCGCTTCGGAGCAGCGTTCCGAAGCGGGGTGGCTGGGGCAGGTGTTCCCGCCCCCCGCCCGGCTTCGCAGCAGCGCTACGAAGCCCGGCGGCTGGGGCAGGTGTTCCCGCCCCCCCCCACCCCGCTTCGGAGCAGCGTTCCGAAGCGGGGTGGCTGGGGCAGGTGTTCCCGCCCCCCGCCCGGCTTCGCAGCAGCGCTACGAAGCCCGGCGGCTGGGGCAGGTGTTTCCCGCCCCCCCACCCCGCTTCGGAGCAGCGTTCCGAAGCGGGGTGGCTGGGGCAGGTGTTCCCGCCCCCCCCCACCCCGCTTCAGAGCACCGGGAGAAGCGATCTCCCTGCAGCCCCTTGCTTCAAAAGAGGTCCGGGGGCAGACCTCTTTTGAAGCAAGGGGCGGTGGGGAGAAGCGATCTCCCCGCCGCCCCTTGCTTCAAAAGAGAAGACCCGCTGTCCCCGGGGCAAGCTTCGTTTTGCGAAGCAAGCCCATAGGGAAATTCATCTTGCGAGGCAACTCGAAAACGAAAAAACCTTTCGTTTTGCGAGTTTTTCGTCTCGCGAGGCGTTCGTCTTGCGGGGTACCACTGTATGCTGGCTGTTTGCCGTAGTAAACATTGGTTGATATTGCAGCCATGTCAGCTTCATGTCAGAAGATTCTCACTTGCTCTACCCATAGGCACCTGGGATAGTTCAGTTGGGAGAGCATGAGACACTTAATCTCAGGATTGGCGGTTTGCTCCCCACGTTGAGCAAGAGTCCTGCATTGTAGGGGGTTGGACTAGATGACCCCTGGGACCCCTTCCAACTCTATGATTCTAATCATTCAAAAGCCACCTAGATACAGATTGTAACATACAATAAGAAGCCATAATAACCAGGCCCACAGTTGTTATCAGCAGGGCTTTTTTTCAGCTGGAACTCAGTTTCGGCCCTTCTCAGTTGGGTGCCATTGCTATTATAAGAGAACAGGGGAGGCGTTCATGTAGGGCTGCCATACGCCCTGATTTTCCAGGACATGTTCTGGAATTCACCCCCGAAAACAGCAGCCTGGATTATTTTCCAGACACTGGGCAAATGTCCTGGAAAACTGGCAACGGGGGTTAAATCATGCAAAACAAACAAACAAAACAAACAAACAAACAAACAAAACCCTCAAAAATTCTTGTAGCTTTTACTAAAGAAACTTTGGTTTGTCTAAAGAAAAAAGAAAAAAGCTCAACCACTTTCAGGGTTCAGCAACTTTTGGGGTGTCCTGGTTCTTTACTTTTTGAAATATGGCAACCTTAGTTCTTGCACTTCTTTTTCTGGGGGAAAAATAGCACTGATCAGCAATATAGTGCTTACAATCTTTAGTTGACTGTAAATATATTTTCCTGTCTATAAGATGCCCCCATGTATAAGACACCCCCTGTTTTGGGGGCAACAACCAATCACCAGTCCACCCTCGGCACTATCTGTGTATAAGACACCCCCTAATTTTCGACATAATTTTTTAGGGGGGAAACCAGTCTTATACATGGAAAAATACGGTGTGTGTGTATAAAAATCAGAAAAGGCCCTGCCTCGAGGTATACAACTTGAAATTAAAGGCAAGACTCATGAGAGAGGAGATTGGTCTTATTTACATCCTATGACCTATACCCTTTTAAAATGTTCTAGTTACAGGTAGGTAGCCGTGTTGGTATCTGAAGAAGTGTGCATGCACACGAAAGCTCATACCAAGAGCAACCTTAGTTGGTCTCTAAGGTGCTACTGGAAGGATTTTTTTTTCCTTTTAAAATGTGTATTTTGTGGGGGGGGGAGCTTATAGTGTTGTTGTTTTGCTTTTCCTCATGTATTTTGTGGTTTTATATCTTGGTTTTATTCTGTGAACCGCCCTGAGACACCCCCCCCCCACACACCCACCTGTATAGGGCGGTATATAAAATCGATAAATAAAGTAAAATAATAAGGGAAAAAAGGGATAGCGCCGGGCCTGTCGGAACTGAAACGCAAAACACCTGAGGCAACTTTTCGAGCGGCCGGAGGAGTTACGGTCTAATTCCTTAAAAAAAAACAACCCGCCGGAATCACCTGAGGCGGCGAGCAGGGCCTCGGCGGGAACTCAACCGAGGGACAAGCCTCGACTTCTCCCTCACACAATCCTGTGGGGCCGTCGGCACTGACCGCCAGCGGCTCCTCAGGGCTTCGAAGCGTCTCGGCCAGGCCTACCTGAACGGGTCCCCTCCATCCTGAGAGAGGTTCCTTCCCCCCCCAAAATATATATATATATATTAATTATATATACTTTAAATCGAGCGACGTCCGGAATGTGAGGCGGAATGAGGGGCTGGGGAAGCGCCGTTCGTTTACCTTGTCCATTCACTCAGCGGAAGAGGCGAGCCCAATATTAATTGCGGGGGTGGTGGTGGGGAAAGGGGAGGACCCCCCCTATAAAAGTCGCTGTGGGTGCGCGCCTCCCACTCCACCCCTCCGCACACCTGGTACGGTCGGATTCACAAACCTCCCGCCGCGCGAGTGTTTGGCTCGCGTCGCTAGGAGACGGCGCAGCGCGTGACGAAGGCGCGCTGCTTTCCCTGGGCGGGGAAACGGGGCTGCTTTGCCCCGCCCTCTTTTCCCCCTGGCTCGGACGCTTCCACAGGCCTCATATCTTGGGGGTGGGGGAGAGAGTTTGTCGGGAGCGCCCCCGCAATGCAGGTAAGGTCGAGCTGTCCCGCCTCCGTCGCGGGACTGCTGGCACGTTTGCTAAAGCTAAGCAGGGTCCGGTGTGGTTTCAAATTGGATGAGAGACCGCTTCCTGCTTTGCAAGGGGTTGCGCGAGAAAGAACCCTCGGGATCCCTTCCAACTCTGTTTTTATGGAAGTGGGTAAGAAGAGAAGTCGCTGCTGCTACTGCTGCTGGAACTAGGTTCCCCCGCCCCACCCACCCGCTTTCAAAGCTGCCCAGCAGACGGAAATTCAACAGATGCAGCTCTCTGCAATTTCAGATAAGCCAGTTTCTGCCTGTCCATGTATTTAAACACACAGGAACATGGACGTAGCCAAGGGGGGAGAAGGAAGGAGTAGCTGTCTCACAAATCAATAAAATTCAATAAAAATACATGGCAAACTGAAGTTCTACCCCCCCCAACAAAAATCCTGGCTACGCCCATGCACAGGATGGCTGGGGGTTCGACCCCACCCAGGGACAGCTGTGGGCAGGATGCTGGCATTACAGGGGTTGGACTAGATGATCCTTGGGGTATCGTCCAACTTTTGTTGTTGTTTAGATGTTTAGTTGTGTCCAGCTCTTCGTGACCCCCTGGACCAGAGCACACCAGGCACTCCTGTCTTCCACTGCCTCCCGCAGTTTGGTCAAACTCATGCTGGTAGCTTCAAGGACACTGTCCAACCATCTCGTTCTCTGTCGTCCCCTTCTCCTTGTGCCCTCCATCTTTCCCAATTTCAGGGTCTTTTCCAGGGAGTCTTCTCTTCTCATGAGGTGGCCCAAGTATTGGAGCCTCAGCTTCAGGATCTGTCCTTCCAGTGAGCACTCAGGGCTGATTTCCTTAAGAATGGGGAGGTTTGATCTTCTTGCAGTCCATGGGACTCTCAAGAGTCTCCTCTAGCACCATAATTCAAAAGCATCAATTCTTTGGTGATCAGCCTTCTTTATGTTCCAGCTCTCACTTCCATACATCACTACTGGGAAAACCATAGCTTTAACTATACGGACTATATGGGTTAAGAATAGGGCTGGGCAATATATTGATACATCTTCCAAAACCAGTTTGAAGTCCATATGATATCTGTTTCGTAATTTTTGACCTGGCAATATATTGTGAATCATGATGTGTGTGTGCGCGCAGGCGCTATGCAAAAATCACAATGCGGGGGAAACCATGAAGCCAGCCAGTGCCTCTACATAGCTCCATCCTTATTTCAGACATTGTGATATATCAGTATAGCGCGACGTTTAGCTGGTGGATGTATCACGATGCTGAACACCCGATATCGCCCAACCCTAGTTAAGAATGGGTTCAAAGGTAAAATGGATAGATTTTGAAAGTTCATCAAATTAATCTATTAATCACGAGAGACCAGGGCCCTGTGGGACTTGACATCTTTCCGCAGGGCCTGCAAGACAGAGCTGTTCCATCAGGCCTTTGGTCAGGGCGCAGCCTGACTCCCTCCCTCGGCAATCTTCGCGGAGCTCTGGCCCGATGGTTGCCAGTGGCTTGAATTAATTAATTTTATAATGAATGATTTTAGAATGTTGTTTATGCTGTACTTTTGTACTGTTTTATTGTTGTTAGCCGCCCTGAGCCCGGCTTCGGCTGGGGAGGGCGGGATATAAATTATTATTATTATTATTATTATTATTATTATTATTATTATTCTACTTGGAGACATATCTGGGGTTCAGCGGGCGGCAGTAACATCCAGGCGGATTTTCCATAAATTGATCAAATGCCTAGGAAAAACCAGACGTATTTGGTATCTGTGACTATAGCAATTTGAATTTCCTTCATTTTTGTTTTTTGTTGGCCAACAAAAAACCGGCTCCAAATCAGATTGCGATGGGTCATTGGTTGCCCATTAATCATCCAGGTGAAAAGGGTGCCAGTTACAATCCCGACAGCAGATTTTTTACTTGTTTCCCCTTGAATCACACTGTTTGGGCATTGCATCTGCAGGGCTAATTTCTTCTTTTGTTTCAGCAGGGGCGTTTCAGCCCGGCAGCATGGGCATCCACGGATTAATGAGCTACGTAGGGGAACATAGAGAGTTCTTTGTTGACCTGCAGTTGAGGGACACCAGTATAGTAATTGACGGAAATAACCTGTACCATCGCCTTTACTTTGATTCCAACCTGGACATGCGGCACGGAGGGGATTACGATTCGTTTGCAGATGTCGCCTGCAAGTTTTTTGAAACGCTGACTCTGTGCAACATCCGGCCATACGTCGTGCTAGATGGAGGGTGCGATGCGTCTGACAAAAAGCTTGCAACCATCAAGGAAAGAGCTCGGGAGAGGATCCTGTCAGCCTATTGTCTCTCCTGTGGCGGCGGTGGCGGCAGTCTACTGCCTTTGCTCATTAGAGAAGTCTTCAAGCAGATCTTGACCAGCTTGCGAGTGCCTTTCGTCCAGTCTTTTTCGGAAGCGGACAGGGACATTGTGTCATTAGCCAATCACTTGAATTGCCCGGTGTTAACTTTAGATAGCGACTTTTGCATTTTTGACCTGAAAGCCGGCTATTGTCCTCTGAATTACTTTCAGTGGAGAAGCCTGGCCTCCTGCAAAGACTCGCAAGACTGCTACATCCCAGCACGGCGCTTCTCGTTAGAGAGGTTTTGTGGCCATTTCAGCAATATGAACAAAACCCTCCTGCCCCTCTTTGCGGTGATGAATGGCAACGACCATATTAACCTGCCGGCTATAGAAATGTTCTTTAGCAAGGTACGCCTTCCCGTCGGAAGCTCCAGGCAGAAATGTCGAAAGCACGTCCGCATTCAAGGGTTGCTGAACTGGCTGTCTCACTTTGCTGATCCCGCTGAGGCTATAGAAAATGTACTGAAGTATGTTAACAAGCACGAAAAAGAGGAAACAAGGCAGCTTCTCTGTGCTTTTATGGAGGAATACGAACCGTCCAGTGTCAGTCTCAAAGATTTTTTCCAGAATGGAGTTTATGAATCGGAGGAAGCCAAGAAATTGGAGTTGCCTCCGTGGATTCTTACTGCGTTAGCAAAAGGCCTTATAGCACCATTCGTCAGTGATGCCCTGATATTAAAACGAACAATTCTCCACGTTCAGGTAGAGAATATGCAAAGGCCTAGTGCTAATGCCATATCTCTACCAATTCGACAAATCATCTATGGATTACTTCTGGGCGGTTCGCAGCGTTTGGTCAGTACCTCCTCGGGAAAAGCACCCACTCGCGTTTTCCATGAATTTGACAGAATACAAAGAGCACTCAAGAAATCGTTCGTCCAAGCGGCAGCGTTGTCCGGACATTTTTGTAGTGATCAGTACTCTCTGAATACGTTAAGCGAGGTAAATGGCTCAAAATGGCAGGCATAAAGCAAACATATCAGTAGTGTTTGAATACTGCGATTCTGTAGGGCGGGGGGAGGAAATAATGTGATGTTGAGCACAGAATCCAACTTCTTGAGGCTATCAGCTTTCAATTTTTTATTTAAAAAGAAAGCTTTCCAGCCTTTATAGTTGGGTACATGTGAAAATACATGGGCAATGCTTGCTGAATTGTCAAAAGCGCTGTGTAAGATTCCTAATGGTTAGCAGGAACCTAAGCGGTGTTAGAAACTCAGACAGATAAGCGAAGCACCAAATGGTATCTTACACCTCGGTTGCAGTCACCATCACAGAATGTCTAGGCACCATTTTTTTTAAAAAAAAATTATACTTATTATTTTGCATTTCATTTCTTTACCACTTCATATTTTAATGAAAAGATCTCACCGCGGTTGACAACACAATAAAACATCAAATAAAATGATCCAGAATAAAACAAATTCAAGTTTCAAGGAATGTAATTCAGATCCTTCTCTAAGGGACATTTGGCTTTCCCCATACAGAGGTACCTCGGGTTACATACGCTTCAGGTTACAGACTCTGCTAACCCAGAAATAGTGCTTCAGGTTAAGAACTTTGCTTCAGGATGAGAACAGAAATCGTGCTGCAGTGGCAGTGGGAGGCCCCATTAGCTAAAGTGGTGCTTCAGGTTAAGAACAGTTGCAGGTTAAGTACAGACCTCCGGAACAAATTAAGTACTTAACCCAAGGTACCACTGTATTTATTTACCTTTTTAATTTATAGAGCTGTCCCATAGCAGAAGAACTCTAGGAAACCAGTGTGGTGTAGTGGTTAAGAGTGTCGGACTAGGACCTGGGAGATGAGGGTTCAAATCACCACTCAGTCATGAAGTTCACTGGGTGACCTCAGGCCAGTCACAACCTTTTAACCTACCTAATAGGGTTGTTGCAGGGATTAACTGAGGAGGGGTGAACCATGTACTTCTTGGGAAAAAAAGGTGGGATTTCAATGCAGTAAATAAGATCTTTAGCCTAGCTCAGTGGTTTTCAACCAGTGTGCCATGGCACCCTGGAGTGCCTTGAATGGTGGTCAGGGGTGCTGCTGGCAACACTGGCCTCTGCCCCTCTTTCCTTCCCTCCCTCCCTCTTAGGCCCTCTTGCATCTCTGCCTCCCAAAGGTTTGCACAGCTGTTCGTTGCAGCAGCCCAGGCTACAAGCTCACCAGGCATATGGGGCCTCTGGGGCTGGCTTGAAGATGCTTCCCAGGTCCCTGTGGGGCAGTGTGAGGAGGCACCTCTCTTTGGGGGGCAGCTCAGAGACCGGGCAGCAGCTGCGGTTGCCCAGAGGACTCCCAAGGTGAGGGGAGAGGAGATGAGTCTGAGGGAACACTCCACAAGGGAGGGTGTTCGAAAAGGGGTGAGGGCTGCCAGCTCTGCAGGCAAGGGGTGACACAACTGGCCTCCTGAGCCTCACAGGGGTGCCGCAGAAAGAATGCAGTTGGTCAAGGGAGCTGTGGGCTCAAAAAGGTTGCAAACCTCTGCCCTAGTAGCTTAAGAAAGCTGAAAGGGCCAGCCAGATGATGTCCATTGCCAGCCTGGTATCCAGACATCTCCCCGTGGTCCCAGTTGGACCCACACCAGTTGCAAAATGATTCACACCCAGTTGATATTTCACGAAGGCTTGGCCATTTCTTTATGCACAGGTTCCCTTAGCAGACCGCCTGATCCTTCTGTTGGAGACATTGGGAGTGACAGCCAGCATCCTGGAGCCAGTTCCTTGCCACCTGTGGCTTCCTCTGGCCGTGACTTGTTACTGGACGCAGTATTCAGAACCCAAAGCGAAGTTACAGCACATGAAAGCCTTACTACTTGGAGTCGTAGTTGGGGAACTTGATAAAGCAATACATAGTCCAGGTAGGTTCAGCTTTAGTCCTCTTTTTCGTCCTGGCATTGCCAATGACTCTTTTTTTAATTTGCACACTGGGGCTTTTACATGAAAGGCCAGAGGATCTGCTTTGCATGCAGGAGGTTCAATCCCTGAAATATCTAGGTTGGGCTGCGAGAGGATGCAATCTGAAACCCTGGAGACAATGCTGGAACTAAATGGACCAGTGGTCTAACTCAGTATAAGGTGGTTGTTGCTGGCATCCATCTGTCTCGAGAGACCATGGAGTGCACCTCTAGGGGTGAAATCAGACCATTGCTTTAGCAACACCAATTTGACACACACAAGCCTGGGCAGCTCAGACAACAAGACACCCCACCCCAGCTCTCAGCCTCGCTGATCTGGTCCAAGCACCTCCAGGCGGTATAACGTTGTTCTTTTCCCCTCCATTTCCTCCTCACAACAACCCTTTCTGGCGGAGTGGGGATTTCAATGCTGGTCACTTTGGTCTGGGTCCAGCCCTTCAACATCTATACCCCACTTTCTCTTAACATTTTAATAGGCTTAAGGTGCTATCAAGTAGGCCGTGACTACTATTTGGCAGAGATGGTTATGTTTCAAATATTTCAAATAGCAATGCGTGGATTTGGGCTTAAATGTCTCAAAACATTCTGAATTTTCTCTCCCCCCCCTAATTCGTGTCCAGATCCCAAGTGCCCACCAATTGAGATCGATAAAATTGTGTATGAACAGTTCTTGAAATGGAAAAAAGACACATCTCAGAAAGAAGCAATGGAATTAGACGCTGCCCACATTTTCTGCCAGTGGCAGTGCTGCCTTCAGATGGGATTGTATCTCAACCAACTCCTTTGTAGTCCTCTCCTTGAGCCAGATCTTACACGGTAAGAGTTCCCAAGGCTGCAAGTCCAATTGAATCAGCTGCTCTTTTCCCACTTCTTTTTTTCCAAGACAGGAATGGTGGTGGTTTTAGTCCAGCAAAATCCAAAAGGCCAGAGGTTAGCCACCCTGACATATAGGAGCAAAAATGCATAAAACAGCCCTATGATTCTACAGTCCTGAGCTACACCAACAAAGCAGCCTCGGAGTGAATGTTAAAATTTCCCAGGACTGAGAGATGGGGCTCCAACACCAGACTGAAGGCCATGTTGGTAAGCTTGGCTAAGGAATCTGTTACCCAAATGCCTAAGAGGTACACTAACAGAATTCCTCGCCCAGGCTTCATCAACTTGGTGCCCTGTTTTAGACGGCTGTGTTGGCAGGGACTGATGGGGACTGTAATTCAAAATGTCTGGAGGGTACCGAGTTGGGAAAGGCTTCCCTAGCCTCTCCCAAGACCCACACACTAAGGTGGAATCTACACACATATAAAAAACACTGTGAAAACGCTTTTTTAAAAAAAGTTTCAAAAAATATATTGAATATGCCATAGCACACCATCGCCATCTAGTGTCACTTTTGTATATTTCACTTTACAACACATTTAAAACGTTTTATTTGCAGCTGTATAGCTGAGTCCCAAGTCTAAGCACTCTCTCAAGGTAGTTTACTGGACAAGGCATAAGGTGAGCAAGGTGGTTAACGGTGTGCTGCTGACAACACCAAGGTTGCAGGTTTGATTCCTATATGGGACAACTGCATGTTCTGCATTGCAGGGGGTTGGACTAGATGATCCCCAGGGTCCCTTCCAACTCCACAATTCTATGTTGATTATGGCCACTCCACCTCACCCTCTCTGTATTTCCACTTTGGGGGGAAGGAGCCAGGCCAGTTCTAGTTGCCTCATCAAACCAGCTCTTGGTTTGCCAAGATCAAATCCTTTATCATAGACTTTCCTCCATCCTTCCTAGTTCAGCAATTTCTGATTTCTCTCTCCAAAAGCCTGCTCTTTATACGATTGGCCTCCTCCATCCAGATTCTCTATTTGTTCTGTGCAGCCGGACTTCCTCCTTGTCCCTACAGCCATCTCACTTTAAGAAAGTTGTCCTGTGGCAGATGCGACTGAATTTTCTCCTCTACTTTCCCCCACCAGCCCCCAAACTCCCTCTATGCTTTTTTCATTTTCATCCCCATGATACGAGGCGATTCTTAAGACCTCTAAAAATATTATCAAACTAGGAGAGAAAGGAGGCCGGGTGCTTTTAAGTACCTGCTTCAAACACAAAGTCTTAAAATACATTTTTATGTCGTAAAGGACACCCTTCACATCTGAGTTCTCAAACCATAAAATAATAACTCGTACCAACAGCACCAAGCTGCACTAGATGCTAACTACTTTCCCTCCCGTCTTTTGACAGGCTCTACAATGGGACCCTGGTGCACAGACTGTATCGTGAGCTTAAATCATCATCCTCACCAGAGAACCTGCTCAGCGCATCTCCAAAAATGTACCAGCTTTATAGCAACATGATACATACAGTGAAAGATATAGCACCGCCAGACTTCTTCCAGAAAAAGAAGAAACCCAAATCGCGCAGGAAAAAGAACAATCAAACCACTGATCAAGGGCTGGATAAAAGAGAAAGCGCCATGTTGGAAACTTTGCCTTCATGCAGTATTAACAACAGATTTGAAGCATTAATGGTGGAGAACTGAAAGCCCAGTTTACTAGAAAGAGGCTGTGTGTCCTTTACATTGAAAACTTCAGAAGTCCTCTCTCAAAATGAGTCTTCAAGAAACAATGACAGGAATCCTATGGTGCTATTATGCTTGATTTGCTGGCCAGTTAAGGTTGGTCTTAGTTACAGGAGGAAATGTCTTCTTACCTTTGAGTAGTACTATTGCAGTGAGTAGTCTGAGGGACTAGGGGATTTACAATGTATTCTGTGCACATGCAAATCCTCACTCTACCCTTCCCCCTCTATGGCCAATGACAAATCCCTGAAAGCTGACAAATACACATTGCTCACTCAATAGTTTTTACATGCAGTTCCAAGACTCATGTTTTGACTCCCTGTTTCCCCTCAACCCCCCCCCATTATTTTTTATATACTTTGATGTGGACAATATCTGCAAGAAGGGTTTTGTTTTTTTCAGACTGGTCTTTTCTTGGCACTTCTACAAGTGTGTTACAAATATTTCACAATATACCTGATAAAAGTTTCCTAACACCTGGCAAATGTCCGAGGACAAAATCAGAATTATGCTAGACAAGTTTCAGCAGATATGGCTGCATTTCCAAGGGGATATTTCTTAAGAGAGATTCATTCCCCTTCCCCAATAGATTTTTTTAAAAAACAGAGAGAAGCTATGGATAAGAACCCACTCTTCTTGTTTGTTCCCTCAAATACTAGAACACTAATTACGTCTCATGAAACATAGTGGATAGCCTCAACATCCTTGTGAGTTCAATTTGAATAGAACGTAATGTCTAAGTTTGCACAGGCAGTCATTAAAACAAACGAAACCATGTTTTAATCCTACCACTCAGAAAGTATGAACTGAAGGACACATATATTCAACCTGCTGTGTGCACTAAAGTTCATCATTAACAAAAAGCACACAGCATGTCAGTAAGACCTTGGAAGTGACCTGCCAAAATCTTCTTGCAGAAATGTCATCAGTGGGGGTGGTGGAAGGGAATAGTAGCCCATAATACTTGCAGCAGGCTGGAAACCAAAGTTATCGGGGAGGTCTTAATTTTTGGAGGATGCCTTATATTACAGCGAGAGGCAAAACTGGATGTAGGTCTTATTTTCGGGGGATGTCTTACTTTTGGGGAAAGACGGTATGCAAACACATGTGATGAGGTTTGGTGATTCCCCCCCCCCAACCTATCATGCTGTTATTGAATCGGCTCAGAATGGACCCTCAGGGGGTTTGTGATGGGATTGGGAAGCCAAGAAAGCCCTGGTTTGAGCACAAAACACCATAGACCCTGACCATAGTTCACAAGTGATTCAGATCCACTCTTCATACAAAACAGTGAAGATTTGTTGTATACCGATATTGATGAATTCGAGCTTTTTAAATAAAGTTTTTTTCCATTTGCATCAAATTACACTGAATGCATTACAAAAAAAAGTACAGTGGTGCCTCGCAAGACAAAATTAATCCGTTCCGCGAGTCTCTTCGTCTTGCGGTTTTTTCGTCTTGCAAAGCACGGCTATTAGCGGCTTAGCGGCTATTAACGGCTTAGCGGCTTTAAGGAAACAAACTCGTAAGAACTCGCAAGACGTTTCGTCTTGCGAAGCAAGCCCATAGGGAAATTCGTCTTGCGGAACAACTCAAAAAACGGAAAACCCCTTTCGTCTAGCGAGTTTTTCGTCTTGTGAGGCACTCGTCTTGCGGGGCACCACTGTATAAAGAAACCATGGGGAAATAAAAAGGGATGAAATGCATTAAAATGGGGAACACAGTAGATCAACTAAGTGCATCTCAGAAATACAGACGTTCTCATCTTGCTTATTAAAGGGAAGAAAGAAAACAAAGGCTCAGCTACTTATGGACTTGAACTTGATGTTAGGATGTAGTTCATCTGGGATCAGGAATGCTGAAGCAGGAACAGGACATACAAAGCCTATATTTGGACTTACAGCCAATATTTGTGGAACCTCACTGGTCCAAGGAGTTCCTAGTTCAGCAGAACAGGAAGTTGTTAAATCTGGCCAAGTAAAAAGATCTAGCTCACTGTGGAAGCGAAAAAATTCAGAAATCATTTTTCAGTTTGTGACCCAGCTTCATTTAAAATACCAAGTTACACATTCACACGTATTTTAAGAAAAGCAGACATTTACTTCAAAATTGCAATTATAGGCTTTTCAATCACAAAAAGGAAGAAAAGACAGTGATCCGACAGTGGTCACATACTGTGCAAAGAACATAGGATACCTAAAAAATAAAAGCACAAGGTACACATTGCAGGATAATGTAAATAAATACAGAATCTGAAAATATGGCACTCTTGTATCTCACTCTAGACCAGATGGAATGCCTTGAATATTTCATAGTTAAGTCCCACCACCGTCATAAAAGTAAAGGGTTTCTTTAAATAAAAACTAAAATCTTTATATCTAATACACATTTCTATACATGTATATCTCTTAAGAGCAAAAGGTGGGCAAGACTTTTGACTTTTTTATTTTTAAAGTAGCCTCTCACACACTTACAAAGTTCCATACAATCTGAAAAGTAAAGTTTTGTCTTTGAGGAAAAAATATTACCAAAGTTGCATAATTGTTTATTACTCCCCTGGCTGGAAGATTTAGAATTCACCAGTCTTTAAAAATTGCCAGTGTTCATCCATCAGGGAAAAGGAGGGACTTGTCAAAAGCCCTTGTATCTTCTCGTGATAACTTCCTCCTACATACGACAGCAGTTTCTAGTTTTGCAAACGGAAAGAATGCAATGTGCATCATACATCAAGAAAAGACGGCAAAGACGAAGAACCACCATGTTTCTGGGGCTTCTCCCTGCTCCTTTCAACCTTCTTTATAATCTCTGCTACTATACACACTGATGAGGTGAGTCCCAGAAGAAACAGCAAGTCTAAACCAAAAAAGAAAAAGTTTTTTTCCTTTAAAAAACAGCAGAAGAATACAGGTATTGAGTAACAGCTTTTCTTGCCAATTTTTATTCCTTATCAAATTTATAACAAATCAAAACTAAATTAAAATTAATTATCTGAGTAACTGTTTTTCAGCTAGCCAGAAATACAAAGCTATAATCAACGGTTTAGCTATGAAAAAACTTGGAGTCAAGCTGTTTGTCCTTTGGACTAACTTGCCAGATATTTTATGGTCATAAACAGAACAAATTCTTGCTGGCCTTGCTAGCCATGCCAAAATGTCAGATTCCACACTCCTGCCCTTTCACTATAATCCCATGTATGCTAACAGAAGCAGGTCCCACTACATTCTATGGGGCTTAAAGGTAAAGGTACCCCTGACCATTAGGTCCAGTCGCGGATGACTCTGGGGTTGCAGCGCTCATATTGCTTTACTGGCCGAGGGAGCCGGCATACAGCTTCCGGGTCATGTGGCCAGCATGACTAAGCTGCTTCTGGCGAACCAGACAGCGCACGGAAACGCCGTTTACCTTCCCACCAGAGTGGTACCTATTTATCTACTTGCACTTGACGTGCTTTCAAACTGCTAGGTGGGCAGGAGCTGGGACTGAACAAAGGAAGCTCACCCCGTCGCGGGGATTCGAACTGCCGACCTTCTGATTGGCAAGCCCTAGGCTCTGTGGTTTAGACCACAGCGCCACCCTTCTATGGGGCTTACTCCCAAGTTAACTGTGTATATAAATTTACAGCCATGGTCCCTGATCTTCAGTTGTGCCTTTCAGAGCTGGGGGAAAGAGCAAAGGGTTGTTTGGTGATGGATGGTGACCACCAAAAGACCAGGCTTGTACTAGCCTCCTCTCAGGAGGGGAGTGTTGGGGCCAAACTGGCCAGTTGCAGCCTTCTTCTCTAGTTTGGCAGCTGTGAGGGATCTTTCCTGTCATTGCACTGAGCCCTTTTAAATCTTAGTGCAACGTTAAGATGAGCACCACACCAGCTCCGAGCTAGACAGAAAGGTGGGGGCTCATCCCTTCAAACTGAATCGAAGCGACATGTCATAAGCCCTCATTTCTGCTTTCATCCTCACCTTGGTCATACAGGCTCGAAAGCAAGAGCAATGTTTCAGTGTTGCCATTATGTGAAAGATGCAGTCATACCTCGGGTTAAATGTGCTTCAGGTTGAGTGTTTTCAGGTTATGCTCTGCGGTGACCCGGAAGTAACGGAGCGCGTTACTTCTGGGTTTTGCTGCATGCGCAGACGCTCAAAATGACGTCACGCACATGCGCAGAAGCGGCAAATCACGACCCGCGCACATGCAAGTGCAGGTTGCATTCGCTTCAGGATACGAACGGGGCTCCAGAACGGATCCCTTTTGCATCCAGAGGTACCACTATAGCTGTCGAGGGGGACAATGCTGAAGTCGCTCTTAAAAGCGGAATTTCTGCCACCTTGTATCCACTCCAAAGTGTCCCCCCAACTCGTTTAACTATATTAATGTTTTAAGTCTAAGCCCTATTTGTTAATGCCTTACAAAACAAATCACCAAGGAAATAATGTACTTGTCTATATTTGTTGGTTTGAAAGCCAAACTGGGCTGAACAAGAAAGAAACTCTTACCTAGTATGCTTAGACTCTCAGTTTGAAAAACTTTCTGAAGAGGAGGGAAGTAGATTACTAGTAGCTGCCCCATGATCGATCCAAGCACTGCGTAACAGAACATTTTGTTGCTGCAGAGTCCAATCTCAAACACAGATTTAGTCTGCAAATAGAAACATAACATCTATGATTTTATTCTTGTGTATTCTAGTTATTTGAGATTATCCATCTTAACTCAAATGATAGGGCGATTATATACTCATCTATTAGCGTTTTGGTAGCTTGAATTAAGTTATGGCTTTGAGCTACTTGCATCTGTGAAATTTTGATAATTTGCAGAGGTTGTTTTCTCTTTTTCAAAATACCATATATTTAAACACAGGCAGTCACATACCTGAGATCTGGAACTCAAAGCATTGAACATATCAAAAAATACAAAGCACGTAAACGTCATTGTTGTATCTCGAGGAGTTATGCCATTGTCTCGCAGCTGGGGAGAGAGAGAGAAAGAGAAAGAGAGAGTGTTAGAGTTAATATATGCAGTTCTCTGCCACTTTACAATAAAACATTTTAAATTCCACCCAACATAATACTACGAAGCATCAGTCCTCTAGCCAAGTGTGGAAGTATCTCTATTGTCTGATCTAGGCGCCTAATTTGATACTGGCATCTAGAATTTTAATTCATTCCTCAGCTGTGTGTAAGACTGCTACCTAGAACTATAATTATTTCCTATCTTCCTTATACCATATCTACATATAATTTTTTAAAAATACAACCATACTGATTGATCTCTATTGCACACGACCTTTAAAACCTCCGCACGATTTAATTGCCAAACCTAAGTTTAAGATCAGTGGAAGTATATAAACATTGGCATTTTACAGTTTTTCTTTAACGCTATGCTGTTTTCTAACACTGGTTTTGAAATGCTTCTCCATTTGAAAAGCAGGTTTCCATGCACCTCAGTAACACTGGGTTCATGGACTTACTTGCATGGTTCTTTTGCACAGTCCATGTGCTTTTATATTTGCAACTATTGGCATATATGAAGCACTGCAAGCAGATAATAAATACACATTTTTTAAAAAGCATCTTTGTCATACCTCTCGCCAGAAGACAAATAATGTTCCACATACAATAATTATAGATGAAACTAGTATTTTAACAATCAGATTTCTGGTCAAAATGCTATCCTTGACATTTCTTGGAGGCTTTCGAATAACATCTTTATCCACAGGCTCAACTCCAAGGCTAGAAATAAGAACACAAATAACTTTTTGAAAGTTTAGATTGATTGAGGCATCATAAAAACAAATTAATCTTAAATCCTTAGCAAGGGATCAACAAACACTCCATTAGACATAAACCCCCATTTGGGAAATTACCCAGAGTTTTTGCACAGAAAATAATTACTTAAACAAATTATTCCAATTTAATATACTTTTTTTTCAGGAAGATTTCTTTTTTTACAATATCATTTGATACACAAGTCCACACAGAGGAAAAGCTTCCACTAACATTTCTAGGAGTTATACCATTCACATTTCTGGAGAGTTACACCATTCAGCAACTTCTCAAAAACTCTCAAAGGAAAAGTGTTACCTTTGAGCTGGAGGCCCATCCATGATAATGTTGATCCACAAGATCTGCATGGCATTGAGAGGATTAGGAAAGTTCATTAATGTGGCCAATGAGATTAATGTCAATGCAGCTATACTCCTGTTGAAAAAAGTTATTTTACACAGCTGTCAGCATCACAATTTTTGGGGGGGAGGGAGTGGTTTTTTTAAATTATTTGGAAATTTGTTATTAAACATTTCAAGCATCAGTAAGACCCACAATACATATAAGTAGCAAGTAAAACTTCATACACAGTAACAATCCAATTGTTTTA